GATATTCATTAAGGCAGATAAAACAAGGATAAGTTGATTGGGGCTGGCATTTTAAAAAAAATTTATTGGTACACTTAAGGTATACAATATGACATACATCATTGGACATTTGCACCTTTATATAATCCATCTTGGTTCTTATTTGGGGCTGGTGCTTTTGATCTCTAGTTTTCTAGGCTGATTATTTTTCAGCTATGTCTTATTTTCAGGGAAACACTATATAATTTTTGCAGTGCTGGGGATCGAACCTAGATCTCTATGCATACTAGGCAGTGTTCTAACACAGAACTATACTTCAACCCTCCCTTTTTTTTTTTTCGAGACTGGGCCTTTCTAAGCCCTGACTGGCTTGTGATTCTTCAGCCTTAAGACGACCTCCCACACACACCAGGGCCATACATGAATTACAAGTGTGCGCCACCACACCTCCCTGAAATGTAATATAAAGTATAAAAGTAGTATGTGTTTGGTAAAATATACATAAAACTTACCATTTTAACCCTTTTTAAATGTATAATTCTGTTTCATTAGTACATCTTATACTTTTGTGATTCCTCCAACATTTTCTGATTAAGACAATTATACTGCCTGAAAATGCTGAGTTTTCCTTCATTCTCAAATTCTTTATTTAAATCTTGCATTTTTGAACTGATTAACACTTCCAGTATAATGCTAAACCTAAGTGTAGTTGATGCTTTGGTCAGCAATGGCCTGCATATATTGCAGTAGCCTCATAAATTATAATGGAGTTGATCACCTATGACATCATAGCTTTCATAACACCATAACACTGTACTATTTGTGGAAATGTTGATGTAAACAAACCTATTGCACTGCCAGCTGTATAGAAGTATAGCACAATTATACATAGTACATAACCCTTAACAATGACAATAAATGACTGTAGTACTGGTTTATGTATTTACTACATTGTATTACTTTGCTTTGTATTACTATAATAAAATACCTGATGCTAGAAAACTTCCATAAAAGGTTTCATTAGTTCACAGTTTTACAGTTTCAAGGGTGTGGCACCAGCATTAGCTGTGGTGAAGGCTTCATGGTGGCTGAAAGGAGCCATGTGTGACAGAGAGAGATCACACAAGACAAGAAACCAGAGCAAGAAGATGGACTGGACTTTTAACAACTCTTTCATAATAAGAAATTTCTTAACATCTTCCAGCCAGGGATTTAGCTCAGTGGTTCCACGGCCTGCTTTGCAAGCGCAAGGACCCAAGTTCGATCCCCAGTACAAAAAAACAAAAAACAAAAACATCTCCCAAAAGGAGCCTCCAATGACCTAAGGACCTCTTACAACCGAGGTGGTGAACCTGTGGCAGATATGTTGCAGTGGCCATGCAGAGCCCTTTCTCTGATGATGTCACAAGTTGTATGAGTTGTTTTTTTCAAAACTAAAACCTCAATATTCAAGTTTGATTACAATGTTGGCACTGTGCGATAAATAAGTGGGTTTTGGGTTGCAGTTTGGCACTCGGTCTCTAAAAGATTCACACTGTCTTATACTCTCGAAGTTGTACTGCTTCTCACATTGCTGCACTGGGGGCTCAGCTTCCAACTCATAAACCCTTGGGGGAAAAATTCAAATCATTGCAGTATGGTCTATATTTTCTTCTTATTGTAGAGTGTATGTATTCCTTCTGCTTAATAAAAAAGTTGACAGTAAACCACTATGCTGTGTTACACCAGCAGCAGCCTCAACTATCTTGTGTTCACTGTGTCTCTTGAATGCAACATTTTTCTCTCATTCTTGATTTAATTTTGTGTTCTTTTGTTCATGATGACCCAAGGAGCAATAGGTTATAACATACCGACTACATATATGGTAGGTATGTGCACACATACTTTATGATATTTATACAATGACAAAATTACATTTTGTCAAATGATGTATGATCACAGATAGTGGGTACTGCGATCCCCATGAAGTCATGAAGCCTGATATTTATTTTACTCTACTCCTATCTGCAACTTTTCCCTAATATCTGAAACCCTTCATCTGTAAAATCAATATATGTCCACCACCCTGACTGTTCCCTTCATATTCTTATTCTCACAAAAAAAGTTGCTTCCTGAGGATGCTTCTCCCTTCAACCTCCCAAGTCAGGCTGTATTCTCTCCTATCATCCGGCATCACTGGGCCTAGTAATGGTACTGATATCCTTACTACTTTCTGTGCATTCACCTCTCTCCTCTCTGAACTAGTTATTCCTGAATCTCTTGTCATCAAATTCTATAACCTAGGCCAGGCATGGTGGCACACGCCTGTAATCTCAGCATTTGGGAGGCACGAGGCAGGAGGACTGCTTCAAGTTGGCGGCCAGCCTAAGCTCCACAGTAAGTTTCAAGGCCAGCCTGAACTGCATAATGAGACCATCTCAAAAAAACCCCAAAACACCAAGAACAAAAAACAAAACGTATCACCCACCATCCCTGTTATCATTTATCAGTTCAAATGTTATTTCTCCCCACTTTGTGAAGAACACATCTTCTGGTTTACTGTCCTAATCAAAATGTTACTCCATTTTAACTGCAATTTCACTATTTCCAAATATGCTGGTCTCTTAATGATTTGATCTCTCTTCTAAAGATCTTGCCTTCCATCTTATCTAAACTCTATCTTACCCACCATGTTAAAGTCCTAAAACCTTCTCACTGCTAAGAAACAGAACCCCTCTATACTCTCAATCTCTTCCCAGTGTTAGACAAGTCATTGTCCTCCTCCACCTCTTCAACTCTCTCTAGTTCATCTTTAATAAACTTTTGCCTTGGTCTGGACCTCCAAAGCAAGTGATCCTAATCTCTCTTCTCTGATCCTTTTTCTCTTTATCCAGTGAAAAGTTCCATGACACCTTGTGGGTATGTGCTAGGTTCTCACTTTCTCAGATACCAGAGGTAGAGTGCAAGTAAAAAGAAAAAAAGCTTTACAAAACTCAACAAGCAAAAGGCCAAACAAATTTTTTAAAAATATTGTTATAAAGGCAAATAATTCCCTAAGAGGTCTCCAGCATCTCAAAGTTTCTACCTGTTTTAAAACAGCAAAACCAGGGTTGAACTTTAATGAAAAGCTCTGAATATACAGAAGCATTCTTGCCCAACACCTACTTTTTTAGCTTGTTTTCTGAAAGTAGACTGACTGAAGCCCACGACTCCCTGAATGGTCGAGGCTTCTCAACCTTGCAAAGGATGCATGCCTGCACATCAGCACCCTTTAGTGAGCTGAATGCCTAGTCGGTCACTTGTCTTGTTCTCAAACTTGCTTGTGCCAGTACTTGAATTTAAAATGATATATTTTAATTAAAACAGTATATAATTGTGATGACAAACCTACAGCATGCAGGCCACAGCGTGCATGCAGAGTCCACTCTATGATGATGTTCACAAGTTGCATGAGTCTTTTTTTTTTTTTAACTAAAACCTCGGTATTCAGGTTTAATTGAAGAATTGGCATTTGACTATCAAATACAGCCTTTAAAAAATAGTGTTATGTTAACACATTAAACAGTTATAAGACTTTACCAAAAGTCCTTGCAAGAGTACAACAGCTTTACAATAAGTAACTGGGAAAAAAAATTAAAGGAAGATTCTCTATTTATTATACAGCCTCATTTGAATACAATCAGAACTAGAAATTATTTTTTAATAGTCAAAGAAGATCCACAAAATTTGTTACTCTATGTAACTCAAAGGGCAAGATGTTTCTTCCATTATGAGCAAAAGCACGCTTTCCCCATCTTCAACAAGTTCCCATGGTATGGGTTGCAGTTTGGGCACTCGGTCTCGAAAAGGTTTGTCATCACTGATGTATAATAATGAAATATGAACATGAACAGAAAGTACTTAAATTTTCAATAAAAAATAAGTTGAGGCTGGGTGTGGTGGTATACACAAAATCTCAGCTACTCTGGAGGATAAGGCAAAGGTAGGAGGGTTGAAAGTTGGGCCCAGAAAGATCCATCTTTTCTCAAAAATAAAAAAAGGGCTGGTGGGACTAGGGATTTAGCTCAGTGGTACTGTGCCAGCCTCAAAAGCACAAGGTCCTGAGTTTGATCCCTGGTACTGGGGGAAGAAAAAATGCAGGGGGATATAGTTCTGTGCAAAGACCCTGGGTTCAATACCAGTGAAACACACAAAAACATTCACACACGTACACCTAAGCTAAACATGATAAACAAGTGCTGAACAAATTGCTTTTAATTATGAAACTCAAATAGGAAAGTCTATAAAAATATAAATGAATCTGCCCTCGGTTTACTTTCTAATTATTTTTAAGTTCTTGTTCCACCAGGTCTCACACTGACAGGCAAATGCTTTACCAGTGAGCTATACCGCCAACTCCTTACCATACCTTTAGAGAAGTAAAAACTTTACCATGTGTGGCTTATAATCAATAGTCCTATAGTCACTGAAAAGGCCTTGGCCCTACATCAAAAGTGCAATGAATACATGAATACTTATATATTTTAAGCTACGAATGTACCTGGACTAAAGTGATCATTCTACCTCAGCCTCCTGGGGCTATAGGCCTACAGGCACTATGCCCAGTGATGACTGACTTGTGAAGAACACTTACCATGTTCTAGGCATTGCACCAGCACTTTTTACTGGTAAGGAAATGGAGGCTTGAACTGGTGAAGGTACTTGCCGTATGGGAAGGCCAGGTTTTGCATTTAGGTGCGCTCACTCCAAACTGTGCTCTTGACTATTAAATCATAGCCTCACCTTACAAAATGACTCTACAGATTCTTGCAATATCATCCTTGTCTGCAGTTGGTCAACCTCTGCAGAGCAGTCAAGGTACTGAACAAATCCAAAGTTACAGTGGATGTGTTAGGCAAGAGAACTCTATGCCATATACTGACTGCACAGATTACCTAGTGAGAATGGAGACTTTGACTCTGGATAGTACCCAAGTCTCAGAGGAAAGGTAAGGGAGGGGATTGGGATGAGCACCTCTTAAGCACAGGCCCCAAATCACTAACCTTGTAAATGTTTTGTAAGACAAGGTGCATCTTATCAGGGTGAATAGCTGACAGCACAAATATCAACATGACAATGTCCACAGACTCTTGAGGTACATTATCCAGAAGGTCATCTTTGGTGAGATCACACTGGAATACCTTGCATCTCTCTGTATCATAGAGTGGATTTTGCTAAAGGGGAAAAAACAAAAACAAAAACTTAAGGATTACACTAATATGCAGAGAACCACAGCATTGAGAGGAGATCCTATTTGCCTTTCTGCACTGCTAGACAGAAATGATCACTTGTTACTGGGTGAAACTGAGCAATGAGTCGTTCACATACAAAACAAGATATCATTTTGAGCAAATAAATTTTTTTAACTCTAGATTTCTATCTTTATTTTATTTTTCAGTACCAGGGATCAAACTTGGGACCTTGCACTTGCCAGGCAGATGGCCGAACCACTGAGTTAAATCCCTGGCTTGAGCAAATAATTTTTAACTGAGAATATAAAACTGGCCTTTGCTTCTTCAACCCTCCTTTGAATGGTCCCCTACAAGCCTCAATCTTATGACAATCCCCTCCAAATCCTCTTAATGGGACATTCCCATAGTTTTTTCTGGGCTAGATTTTCCTTTGATGTAGCAAGCTGAATAAACCTGTGTTTCTAATGCATAATGGTCAGTGGCTTGTAATTCAGGTCTAAGATTATCATGAAGAGGGCCAGGTGATTTAGCTCAGTGGTTCTAGCGACTGTCTCACAAGTGCAAGGACACAAGTTCATCCCCGGTACCGAAGGAAACAAACAAACAAACAAACAAACAAAAACTACCACAAAGAAAAGTATTCAACTTTTCTCTCCCATAAATGAATACCTGAGATATAAAAAGTTACTAGATGGGAAAATTCAGTATTAAAAGATGTCAATTCTACTTAAATTTCCACAGATCCAATGCAATCTCAATTTTTTAATGATTTTTTAGAAACTTGAGAAGGTAATCCAATTTATCTGGAAGCAAGAATCAATTTTTAAAATAAAGGAGATACACAGTTAGACATCAAAACATATTACGAAATGAAATAATAAAACAATGTGATTTGAAGATGATGGCAGAGCTCACTTTGAGACAAAGAGTCCCAAAACAGACCTGTGTGGATGAATTTAGGATTTTTTTGGTACCGGAGGTCAAGATCAAACTTAGGACCTTGTGCTTGTGAGGCAAGGGGCGGGACCACTGACCTAAAAACCTGGCCTAAATTTAGTATTTTATATGACTAAAAGACAAAGGACAACTAGTAAAAAGGCAGGTAATAAAGGAGACAATTCACATAATTTTCTGTGTTCTGACAGTTTTGTCACTCTTTTTAGCATTTAACCTGAGTGCTCAACATAACAACTGGCACATTTCAATAAACACATGTAAAGAAACTCATAAAGGCAAAAGAAAAAGTAATGTGTATTTTACATACTAGAGGGTCTTTAACATCTCTATTAATAAGCAAAAAACAAAATATGGAGACACTGGAGAAATTATAAATTGAGAAGGAAAATTGATATTATCTATGAAAATTTAAATGTAATATGCTTCTGTCACCTGCCTCGCAAGCGCAAGGACCTAAGTTTGATACCCAGTACCAAAAAAAACCCCAAAAACCATATGCTTCTTTTCCAAGGAATTCAACTTCTTCCATTATATTCACTAGAGAGAAATATGTACAAACATTTTGGAAACATGTGGATCATGTGGGTCACATTAATCCCATTTGTAAGAGCAAAAAAAACTAGAAATGATATAAATAATTATCCATAGGGAACGATTAAATAAGATATGATATATCCACTCTATGGAATATTACAACATGTTAAATATAATGTGGCAATGCTACATGCAATAACATGAAACACTTTAATGTGTAATAATGTAGACTAGACAAATCAAGTTATACTAAATGTGATATTACCGTTGCTTAAAAAAGTCTGAAAGTTGATGGGGAACTAGATATTGGCATGTTGCCAAGGTATCTCCCACAAATCTGTTAACGGCAAAGAAATATTTTTACAATGAAAGAATTAAGAGTTGCTACCTTAATCCAGCGAATAAAATTAGGATCACATTTGTGGGATCACCAGGCATTACTGCCTCTTGACAGGATACAAAGAAGCAAGACACAACATCACCTATCAAAATATTTTTGTCAAAAAATATTTGTCTAACCTTTAATTTATATAAAATACAGAAATTAAGGGACAATTTAAGTAATAACACAAAGAAACAATCAGACAAATTTGGAATGTGGAATTTTAATACAGAAAGTAGACTTGAGGTCTTCTAAAACTCAATGTAAGTGGAGAAAAAGGTAAAGGACAGGACAGGAGTATTTTAAGCTAAAAAGATTTAAATGACATAATGGAAGTATAAGAGATAGTCTTTAATTGGATTGAAAACAGCTGAAAAGACATCTGGACCTACTTGGAAAATCTGAATCTGGCATTGATACTAAAAAGAGTCAAGTTTTTTAGGTATGATAAGCTAATCGTGGTTATATATAAAAAGGCCTTATTTTAGGGGGAGATGTATAACACACATATTTAGGAGTGAGTCCTGATGTGTAAGAGAGTTCAGTAAAGACAATTCTATAAAACAAAAAGTGTAATAAATATTATTATAGTACTTTTCCCTACTTTCCTTGATTAAAGCTGTGTTTCTATGTGCTGGATATGAAAATTACACTTGCAGTGATTTTAGTTGGTCAGCTACAGGGAAAGGACTGGAATTAGGAAAACCAGTACAGAGGGCAGGTTGAACAAATCTGAGAAAATAGAAATATATAATACATAGATGGTAACCAACCTTAACATATTCGACTGCTCTTGGAGAAAAGTCACAGGCATAGGCAAAGATATTGAAATCTTCCTCTAAAAGCGGGAATAAACAGTTCCCAACTCCACAGCCAGCTTCAAGAATAGTCAATTTTTGACCTTCAAACTGAGGAAAGAGAACCCCAAATTACAGTACACTACATATGCATAATGAAAAAATCCAGAATGCAAGGGACAAAGTCTCTGACCCAGCAGAGCAGAGCAGACAATAAATAAGAGAATTCACAAGCAGAAGTCAATACTAGTAACTTCATTTATCATCACTCAACACTGGACACTTTGGTGTGGAGGAAAAAACTACCATACTGGCTAACTGAAAAGATTCTGGAGCAAACCTGCACACAAACCCAACTCTTCCTCTGTCTCTGCCGTCTATTCTTGGGAAAATCATTTAAAGAGCTCTGGGTTTCAGTTTTCCCTGCAAATGAGGACAATACTAACACACTCATATAGAGTTCCTTTCTATAAAGCTTGAATGACATAACATGTAAAGTTCATAGGAAAAGGCCATAGTAAATAGTTCATAAACTCCTATTATTTTAGTATGTCACTCAAGTTCAGAGTGTGAATATTTAACAACTTTCAGCTTTAAAAAAAAAATAAAGACCACTGCAGTTTTCTCTCCTATGTATTAAACCCAGAATTGCTAAAACTGCTTGAGCAGTGTATTTCTCTCCAAAGGTACAAAAGATTTCACATTCCCTATAGGAAAGCAATAATGCATCTCTCTTCCATACATTTTAAATAAAGAGCAGCTCAGAATAAGGTGAAATATCGGCTTACCTCCCTAGATGATTTTAGCTCCTCAAACTCTCTGGTGGTCCAATGTCTATTTTTGAAAAAGTTGATACTGTTTCTTTTGTAAAAAAGATCCCAGTTCTTCTGGGCCTCTTGTTCCAGTTTTTGCTGTTTAAAATCAGACACCAAAGCTTGGTCACTTTTCAGTTTCTCTTTTTCTTCAGAGGTAAGAATCCTTGCCTGCAGTCCTTTTCTTTGCAAGGAAGCCATCTCCTAAGTGAGTGATAACACATTTAACATTGCTGATGATACTCCCCGCTCCAACAATTTGAGAAATCCATACTGACACTGAGGACCCAGGGATTTCTCTCAGATGCACCCCCCACGTAGTTTTCACACCTCAGCATCACAGAGCGCCTTGCAAAAACAAAGAATGAGATTGGTTAGTGGTTCTAGAATAGTTCTTTAGAACACAGAACTAGTGGTTCTCGAATAGTTTAAGACACTGGCTTAGTCGTTCTCGAACAGTTAAAGACGCTGGGTTCAATTCACCAAACACGAGATGCCATACAGTAGCACACAAAACCCAACTTGCTGTAGGAAGAAAGGTCATGAAGACCAAGTAAGTCACAAGACCCTCGCTTACATTCAGTGGCTAGGTCTGCCTCATGCACTGAACTGATGATACAAACCAGAACTGGTCAACTATTATAATAGATCGGTTCGGTTTGGAAAAAAACCAAAACCAAAACCAAACAACTTCCAGGAACTGACTGAGAAAACCCTGGGACGGAAATACTCAATTTTCGGTGCCCGTGAAAGGAGTGACAAAAACAAAAGACAGCTACCTGAGTGGAAGGGGGAAGTCAACTGCCAGACAGAAGGGGGGGGGGCGGTCATCGTCTCCTTCGGGTCGGACACCGCTTTTTTCGGAAGAAACAGCGCTAACTCTGGGTGAACAGAATCTTTGAACGAACCCACAAGAGGCCGTGGCGCGAACCGGAAGGAGGCATCGCTTTCTGGAGCCTGAGGCCTCGCACGGCCACCACGGCCCGCTGGCCCGAAGGAAGTGACCCACAGACTAGTGGCTAAGGTCTAAGGATCCACCTCCTTCAGGACACCTGGGATGAACTAGGCCGCGCTGGCCCCAAGGGCTCCGCAGGGCCGCCCATACTGGCTATCAGAGAAGCTTCCATCCAGTCGCCACGCCCCGGGCTCCCCGTCAGCAGTTCTCAGGTTCACCTGTACCTGTACTCACCGCTCAGCCAGGCCAAGCCCTGGGAAGTGGAATTTGGGAGCCACCACAGACAGAAACCTGGAACCTGAACAGGGCAGCCGCAAGAACTCGGAACTGACTGGATCCCGGGCTTTCAGGGGCCGCGGCACCGCCCCCTACTTCCGTTAAGAGCCCGGAAGTCCCGCCCGACGCCGGAAGTCCCGCGGCCTTGCTCCCTCCGAGTCTTACCGTACCCCGAAGCAGAGGAGAATCGTTTCCGGGCCCAAGTGGGCCGCGGTCGGGCTCCAGGTTCGCTCCCTTCGGACCCGGGTGCGGGAGCTGGGTCTCCGGCCGCGAGGAGAGAGCGCTGATTTGGGGCCATGAACGGGACGGCGAACCCACTGTTGGACCGTGAGGAGCACTGCCTGCGCCTCGGAGAGAGCTTCGAGAAGCGGCCGCGGGCCTCCTTCCACACCATTCGCTGTAAGTCGGCGCTCTCCACGCTTATCTTGGGCTGTTCCAGCCGCCACAGATCAACCTGGTTTAGTCTTTTCATCCCTCTGCCCTCCAAAGTCCAGGAACTCCCTTCTAACGTCTGTTCCTGCTATCTTACCCCAGATCCTCTGGAACCTTGATCTGATCCTTTTTACTTCATTTTTTTAGATCACTCCATCCAAACCAAACCTTTTGTCACTCTCAGCTATTAACTATTCTTCTACATTTTGTTTTATTTTGTTTTTTGAGACAAGGTCTTGCTCTGTAATTCAGATTGACCTCGAACTCGACAACCTTCCTGCCTCAGCCTACCAAATGCTGGGATCACAGTTGCGTCTGGCTCTTCTGCCTTATCGTCCTAAACACTCCGAAGGGCTCAGTCCTTTTCTTAGTTTATCCCCCCACCGAGCCCTTTAGCCATACTTCCCTCCGTCGGGATCCAGTTCTCCCTCGAATCCCTCCTTCCTCTCTCGCAGCTTTCTGATGATCTCATCAGAGCTCTCCACAATTACAATATTCTTCTTCGCTGCGAGCCTCATCTCCTTCCTACTGACCCCCTCCCAGCTGCTTTCCTTCTTTGTCTTGGTCCTGGCCACCTGATTTTTTTTTTTTTTTTGGTCCAACCTGCTGTGAAGGAAATGACACCCTTTCTGTGCCTCATCAAAGTTTTTCTCTTCTTTTTCGTGCCTCATTGGATACCGATGTCTTCTGAGGTCACCTTTACCACCCCAGCTTCTGGACCATGTCCCTTGTAGATGAAGAATACAATTAAAATCTGTGAGCCAGGCGTAGGCTACAACATGGTCTATGTTTTGAAACGAGCAGACTTAAGGAATGTCAAGACAGTTAGCTGCACCTTTTCCTACGTGATTATAGACTTTGTTGAGAAGGGACCCTTCACTCTGTGTTTTGGGTAAAGATTTGGCTCTTAGGATTTGGTTGACAGAGCATCCCTCAGTGATTCATGAGCTTCTGGTTTCCGGTAGCACCAACACTGGTTAAGACTTGTTTTTGTCAAAGGAGCTAATAGATGTGACTCAACACATAAGGAGAGGGTGAGTTAAATAAGGAAGTTTCTTCCATCTTTGTGTGGTCACTTGTCATGCATTTCTGTGCTTCCTACTGACAGCAGACCGGGCTCTTTCAGAGACTGGATATTGGCAATGTGACAAGACTGTCATTTCCAAAGTTAATCGTTGATATTTTCCTTCAGTGAAGGGGAACGTGGAATTTAAATGAGATAGTTCACATGTGCCCCTGGCCTGCAGTTTGGAGCAAGTTGTAGTCATGTGAAGATGGCTATATGTGTTGTTGTATAACTGCAGTTCATAAGCACTAGCAGGACAACCTTTGGGGACAGTTCAGCTGTCTACTCGGAATATCTGCAGAAGTCTCTTTGTCTACATTATGGAACTTGGGAGTGGCAAATTATAATTTTGACAGGTTCTATGCCAAATCAACTTTTATGATGCGGTGGCCTTTCATGTTCATATAGTGTTTTACAGCCAAGAATTTCTTATATGTTCTATTGTTTTTGATTCATAACAATAATAAAACATCTTATTATGAATGATGAAGAATTAATTTCATCTGTTCCTTGTCTTTGCTTTATAAAATGCTGTGTAAATTCTAGCCTTTCTTCCCAAATTTCCTAGTGGAGGTTGGCAGAACGGTACGGTATGTGGAGGTGTGCTTGGTAGTTATTGAAACTGGATGCAGACTTCAGAGTTCATTGTTTTCTCTGTTCTCTCTACTTTTGTGTATGGGACATTTTCCATAATGAAAACAATTTTTTAGAAAGAATTCTAAATCATTTTTATTTTCTATTTTGTTATTCCACCTTTGTGAATAAGAAAAACTTTAGTTCTTGAATGAAATGCCCAGGAAGCTCTTATTCTAACTAACAGGTGGGAAATGCTCTTTTCCTTTGCTTATAGATGATTTTAAGCCAGCATCTATAGACACCTCCTGTGAAGGAGAGCTTCAGGTTGGCAAAGGAGATGAAGTCACAATTACGCTGCCCCATATTCCTGTAAGTTTATTCCATGGTTGGTTTTTTTGTTTGTTTATTTGTTTGTTTTGGATACCGGGGATCAAACTCAGGCCCTTACACTTGCAAGGCAGGTGGCAACACCACTAAGCCAAATCCCCGGCCCTCCATTGTTGGTTTTAATATAGGATCACAATGAATCCTCATATTTTATTACTGCAATTCAAATTTCCTACTGTTGAAAAATATTTAGATTTCTAAAGTGCCAACATAAGTGAAAAAGGAATTTGAGGGAGTGGGGTAGGGTGGAGTTTGTTATCAGGCACAGGATTTAAATGATTCTTTAATTTTCCCCAGTTCTCTTTTCCCCACTGTATGCTATGTAGTAATCAGGATTCCCATCTGGACAGCTAGCTGTCCGTTAGACATAGCTTTTGTCCCAACCAACTCTGCTGATAAATAACCATAATAGCTCTGAAGTATGGGGCAGTCAAAAGGCAGGGGAATGTAGGATTGACATCTCAATATCTGGTAAGGAGTTGTATGCAGGCTGCTAGTCTCAGGAAGAGGCCAGAAGTTTGGAGCATTCAGCTAAAATAGGGATGAAGAACTGCACCATGCACTTGGCAGGCTTTTTCAAAACCCCGCTCAGGACATTGCCCCGATCACAAAGCCCAGAGGGTCACTCAAGGTGCTTGTAGTGATCATGTGTCACTGTGTTTCGTAGCTCTGTCCTAGAGCATAGTTCTTGGTAGCTGCTGAGAGAATGAAAAATCTCTGGGCAGAGACACCTGAAATATGTGCGCTGAAGAGAAATTATTTGCCTGTTTTTTATTACTCATTGCCTGTGGTGGGTTGCATCATCTCCCTTTGGACTTTAGTTTCCCAAATGTGAAATGAAGGAGTTAGATAAATGGTCTCTAAGGTATCTCCCAATTCTAAATTTTTACCGTATAAATAACGAATCAAAGAGGCAGCCAGTTTTTGATTGTAAACAAGGCATTAAATCGTACATTGGACATATTTTAATTGAACGACTGCTGTGTACAACCCTGAACAAAATAAACATATTTCTTGCCTTTGTGGCACTTTTAGTCAGGGGTTTAAATAAATATCAGAAAATATAGCACTTATTCCAGGAAATCAAGGAAGGCTTCCTTAAAGGCAGTACCTGTTGAGATTTTCTGATGTCTGAGTAATGTAGAAAGTCAGTCAGGATTTAGCAGGCAGAAGCTCTGTTACAGTCTAGGGCAGGAGTGAGCTTGAGGATCCGAGAAAAGCCTCCACTCTGAAGCACACCGAGTCTAGGGTGAATGGTGCAGGCCAGATGGTGGCTTACAGATGCTGTCCTTTGGCTTGAGAGCAACGTGTGTGCCGTCCAAGGGCTTAGACATGATGTACTTAAACTGAGCTAAGCAGAATGCTAACCTGCCCTTGAATGCTCTGTTGGTTATTGACATGAGCGGGAAGCCCTGTGCTCGTCAAGTATGGAGAAATATAAAGGTCACTCGCTAGCTTCCTCTGCTTAGTGTAATACAAGTAATAGTTTTTCTCAGTTCATACTTTTGCTATTCTTTGTAACATTCTCCCAATTTCTTAGGCACATGTACAGTAGTTTTAAATTTTTTATGCTATCTTTCTTAATCGCCTACAGCCGGTTGCACAGTCCCAGATTCTTGCTACATTATTATTTCTCCTTTATCTGGGAAACCAGAATGATTTAAAACAGAAATCAGTTCTTTCTGTTTTTGTTGAGTAACTGATGAAAGATTTGATGAGGTAGAGTCATTTATAATGTTGGTTTTGATATTGATAATCATAACTGGTGTGTTTAGTTTGATCATCTTATACTTTTGTGGCACATAGGGATCCACGCCACCAATGACTGTGTTCAAAGGGAACAAACGGCCCTATCAGAAAGACTGTGTGCTCATTATTAATCATGACACTGGTGAATATGTCCTGGAGAAACTCAGTAGCAGCATTCAGGTCAAGAAGACAAGGTATGTGAATAACCAGATACGGACTTATCTGCTGTTTCTGTACCTTTGTATTATGTGTTCCAGCTTTATAAGGATGTGAGTGTCTACTTGCTCCTAGTGGTACATTGATAATGGTAACACACTCCACCTATGTTTTCTCAGACAACTCAGAATGTTTCTTTTCCTCCAGTGTAATAAAAAGAAATAATGCTAGGCCAGGAGTTTAGTTCAGTGGTTCCACCGCCTGCCTCTCAAGTGTACAGACCTGAGTTTGATCCCTGGTACAAAAAAAAACAGAAAGAAATAATGCTTTTAAGATCTAAAACATGGAAGTCATTGGGGAAAACAAATTACTTTAATAAGTAAGCCAACTTTATCAGTCTCATGATTGTTGGTATAGTACCATTTAAAGGACAAGCTTTATGTTTATATACAAAAGAGCGCTGGGAAAGAGCCTCAAAAGAAAAATTGAATAACTTTGTTAGGGTAAAAACATTGTTTTGTGTGTTTGTGTGTGATACCAGGGATCGAACTTAGGACCTTGTGCTTGTGAGGCAGGCAGCGGAACCACGGAACCAAATCCCCAGCCCTAAAACATTACTTTCTTAATAGGCTACACTTGAGATGAATGACTATAATACTGCCTGCTTTGTTGACTAGTGAACTTTCTTTAATATATCATTCAGTAGGCATTCCATATCTAATGGAAGTAACCAAGTGGTTCTATAGGTCACATTGTAATGTAGTAATTATAAATACAGTAATTGAGGTTGTTTTTTGTTGTTGTTACTGTTTTTTTTGGTACCGGGGATCAAACTCCAGTCTTTGTGCTTGAGAGGCAGGCAGCAGAACCACTGAACTAAATCTCCAGTCCACAGTAATTGAGGTTTTTTTTGTTTGTTTTGTTTTACCAGGGATCAAACTTGGACCCTTGTGCTTGTGAGGCAGGTGGCAAAACCACTGAGCTGAACCTGATCTTCTCTGTTTGTGCTTCTTCAAGCCATTTTTCTTAATTCATTTATTCTATAAAAAAATAGAAACTGCTGCCATTTGTTGAGAGGTTATGTACCACGCCCTTTGCTGTATGCTTATGTCTTTATGTACATTATTCTATCGAATTTTCACAAGAAACTTCTATGAAGAGGCCACTATCCTTAAAAAAACAAAACAAAACAAGATCAGAAGAGAGTGAGGATTACAGAGGTTATGACTTAAACTCTAGTGCTCAAGCTGAGGCCTGCCCCAGGCAGTGTAGTACGGAGCCTTTACTCCAGTTATGCTGCTCTGTATATTTGTATCATTCCCCAGTAGAGAACCAGATGCCACTGTGATTCCTTCAATAACTTCCTTTCTGTTGGATCACCTGGTACTTGTTAGACACGTAGAATCTCAAGACCTACCAGATCAGAATCTGCAGAGACCTCCAGGTGATTTGTGCTATGGTAAGTTTTAAGAAGCACTGAAGCTAGCTAGCATGGCACACACCTGTAATCGCAGCTACTTGGGAGGCTTGGGGCAGGAGGATCACAAGTTCAAGGGCAGCCTGGGCAGGTTAGAGACTTAGCAAGACCCTCTCTCAAAAAGAAAAAAAAAGTTTAAAAAGAGGGCTGGAGGTGTAGCTCAGTGGCAGGGCATCTGCCTAACATGCACAAGGTCCTGGGCTCAATTCCTAGTTCTGAACAAGAAAGAAAAGGAAAGGAGAGCTAAAGAGAAGAAGAAAGGTAGCACTAGGCCAGTTCACTTACAAATGGGTAGAATTTTCTGTCTGGTATATAACCCTCTGACATGATAAGCAAGAAGTGAACAGATAACAGAAAAGTTTTTAAGCTGGGCAGGATTTCAGGAGCTAGTTTATTCAGAATCTTGTATGCCATGGATTGTAACTTCATATTGCACACAAGTGAAATAGTCATATTTTCTGCTAGTAAAATGGATTCCTACAGTAATGATCCTATACTTGTTTTATATCCTTTTTTGTCTGTTTGTTTTCTTTGTTTTGTTTTTTGAGACAGGATATTGCTATGTAGCCCAGGATGGCTTTGGACTCATGGCAATCCTCCCGCCTCACCCTCCTGAGTGTTGGAATTCATGCCCGTTCTGTATTATCTGCTTGATATAAAATGTGATCTTCTTGCGGGTAGTGATGCCATTTTATTCATCTCTATATCCCTGATTCACAGTGCAAGAAGTGCAGTAGACCCACAGGTGTTCATGAGTAGTACTCAGATAAAATTATAAATACTAGTATTTTGCAGTGATGTGGAAAGGGTTTAGGGTTCTCCAGAGACTTCTGGGTGCTAAGTTACCTGGACAAATTTGAGAACCACTGTTTTTATCCATCTGATTCAATGTCTGTCTCATCTCAGAGCTGAGGGAAGCAGTAAAATCCAGGCCCGAATGGAGCAGCAACCCCCTCGGCCCCCACCGCCGTCACAGCCCCCTCCCCCTCCTCCTCCCCCTCCCATGCCATTCAGAGCTCCAACAAAGCCTCCAGCTGGACCCAAGACTTCTCCCTTGAAGGACAACCCCTCGCCTGAACCTCAGCTGGATGACATCAAAAGAGGTAGAGATCGTTTTCTGGAGCTATGACAGCTACATTGGAGGAGTAGTGTCGCTGTTCTTGTAGCAATCACAAAGCTGCTGTTTTGACATGGCAGCATGGATCCTGTGATCCTGGCTACTTGGGAGGCTGAGGCAAGGCAGGAGAATTACAAGTCCAATGCCAGCCTGGGCAACTTAGCAAAACTGCTTTAAAATCAAATTTAAAAAGAGCTAGCGATGTTGCACAGTGGTAGAGTGCTTGCTTGGCATTTAGGAGGCTCTGGGTTCACTTCCCAGTACTGCAAAAATAAACTTTTTTCTCCTAAAGCTTGCTGTTCCGGAGCTGGTGAGGGTGGGGAATTCTACTACTTACCTCATTTGACAGGGGTGGATCCAGGAATAGTGACTTGAGTTGTGGCTGTCTTGGCAGTATTCTCAGAGGCACAGGCTTTAAGTAAGTGCAGGTGCATCTGAAGCTTCACATGGCTTTGGAGAAGGAAAGGGTTCTTGATGATAGGGGTGAAAACCAAATGCAGCCATGTTTCTGAGCTCTGCCTGCTAATGAGGTGTCTAGTTTAAGGAGTCATTTAAAATACCATGACCAGGGCTAGGGGTTTAGCTCGGTGGTACTGTACCTGCCTGGCAACTGCAGGGTCCAGAGTTTGATACCTGGTACCAAAAGAAAAGCCAAAAAACCATGACCAAATGCTTTATGCTGATACAAACTATATAAACATTAGGGGAGGCCATTATACCAATGAAAATGGACTCAGGTCTAGAAGGACATAGAAATCTTGCTTGGCTCTGTACTACAAAGTGGAGGCAAGCTTTCTCCCCCATACAGTGGACAGTTTTGGTTCTCCAGACTATTAGAAATTATGAGGTGTCATATTTCATATTTATAATTAAATTCATAGTACTAGAAATATTCATACTAGTAGAAAACAGGGAAAGACAAAGGTAAGTTTGCCTTTTTCACTCTATAAAAATGCTGCCTCTTAGCAAATAAATATCTCTGCACTGTACGTAGTTGTTACACCTCTTGTTTCTGTTTTTCCTCATTGATACTAGAATGCTGTTGTGGAAATTTCCACTGTAGTCAAATAGGAATTAGCCCATGTATGGTTAGTTGTTGCCAGTTATGTTTAAAGGATCAATAGCTGTTCAGGGCCACATGGTATATTTAGATGGGAAAGTGTGACATCTTTCTTGGTGTAGCCTCATATATTCTGTGACACTGAAATGGCAAGGTAAAACGTGCCTGTTTTTTCCATACTTTACACCTGTGAAAAAAGTGCAGTATTTGACAGACATGGTCCTTGGTCAAATAAGTAAGAGTGGAGAAGAAGAATGATTTTCTGCTGTTTTTCTTCACTTGCCATGGTTCTTCCTACAAGCTTCCGTGAGAGCTGAGAAAGACCTCAGAGCCTGTCTGTCCCTCATTTCTCCAGAGGCTTAGGAAACTCATTAACTTCTCGCTGGGTGTCACTGTTGGTTACAGATAGATCCACAGCAGCCATTCAGGCCTTCCAGTTCCTACTTGCATATTTTCCTATCCCCTTTAGCATGTTTCTCATCTCTTATTTGGAATTTTATCCCGTAATTCACTGTCTTTTTTTTTTTTTAATAGATAATTAACAGCCTGTTTTTTTATTTTGGGTGAATTTAACATTTCCATTATGTCTCTGGAAACGAGTTAGGTATTTTTGTTTGTTGGTTTTGGTAATTTTTATTTGGAAGTTTTTTAAGGAATTGAGTTTAAGTTATTCCTTATTGCTGTAGGTTTTGCCAGCTTACTACTTAGAGCATCTTCCTGCTCTGCCTTGAAAACAGTTGCTGTGATGACCATGTCGTAATCGTTATTCCAGAGCTAAGGGCTGAAGTTGACATTATTGAGCAGATGAGCAGTAGCAGTGGGAGCAGCTCCTCAGACTCAGAGAGCTCCTCAGGAAGTGACGATGACAGCTCCAGCAGTGGAGGCGAGGACAATGGCCCAGCCTCTCCTCCACAGCCATCACACCAGCAGCCCTACAACAGCAGGCCTGCCATAGCCAATGGGACCAGCCGGCCACAAGGAAGCAACCAGCTCATGAACACCCTCAGTAAGTGTGCTCTCGCTGTGGTGGCTGAGTCAGGGCCACAGTGCAGCGTCTGTTTATCTTATGCCAAAATCTGTAAATCTGAAGGCATTTAAGATAAGGAAAGGCTCTTGGCAAAGATGATTTCGAGCAGAAAGGAGTGTTACCAAACAGCAAGAAAGTGATGCACCAAACTAAAAATCTGTTTTCTCTCTTTCCCACTCACTATCGGCACAAATTCGGTTTTGTGAATTCTTTAAAATGCTGAAACAAAAACAGATGGGCTCTTTGTTTTTTACATAAACCAAGTTTAAGGGGAGCTACCTGCCACTCTACTGTCCTTGCCTCCAGGTCTTTTATGAAAAAGAATGCATTGCCTCTATTTGGAGACCTACTAACCTTTGGCAAGAGGGGAGAGAAGGATGGTGGGGTGATGTTTACTGTAATTGATGCTGAAACAGAACAGAGGAGAACAGGAACAAAAGTGTCTTTGTTTTGGAGCTGGAGAGCAGACTGATTATGTTTTTGTGGAGGTTGGAAGGACTGGCAGCCATGGTAGGGAAGCTAGTCTAGTTAACCACTTAGCAGTAGACTACTATAGACCAGGCAAAGATAATCTTAACTTCAGCCCTTGCACATTTGAGCCAGGTAAATCTTTGTTGTGGGGCTGTGCTGTGCACTGTAAATTGTGAAGGAGAATCCCTGACCTTTACCCACTAGATGCCAGTACCACCCCCATCCCCCTGTTAACCAAAAACATCTCAGAACATTGCTAGAAGTGCCCATCTTCAGCATAAGTTGATGTACGTGAAGAAAAGCTGGTCTCACATAGGTAAGTTAGAAGAAGAAGGCCTCAGGACATATTTAACTTGAAATGTCCCTGAATCGAAAATTCTGTATACCAAAAAAGAATACTGAATTTATAAAGCCAACTAGATCAGAATTGAGGTTTAAAATAATCTGACCTAGACCAGATGTATACCAGTGGGGATAATGGATTAGGATATACTGGTATAGACAACATTCAGCTTCTTAAATGGGAAGCCTTACTTGGTGTTTTCTTAGCTTTTATAAAGCAACTTGATGTGAACAATTCTACCAAGTGGCTTTTAGGTTATTTACAAGTATTTTCTAGCTATTTATTAACACATTTTAAAGCTGTCTCACCTACTCCTTATTCTATCCTAATAAGCAACCCTGATGTGCTTATCAGATACCAAGAATAATGTTTCTTTTGGTACTGGGGATCAAACTCAGGCCCTTGTGCTTGTGAGGCAGATAGCGGAACCACTGAGCTAAATTGCTGGCCCCTAAAAATAGTGTTTCTTTAAAAATCTTTACTGCACCAATTTTTTCAGGGAGCCAAATTGATTTTACTCTAATTAAAATTAGCAAGGTTTTAGGGCCGGGGATTTCACTCAGTGGTTCTGCCACCTGCCTTGCAAACACAAGGACCAAAGTTTGATCCCCTGTACCAAAAAAACCAAAAAAACCCTAAAATTAGTAAGGTTTTACCTAGTGTGATAGCTGAATCAGTCAACCTCAAAATTGTGAGGGATTTATTTAAATTCTGTGCTTTTGATTTGATTCTGTTTTCTTTTTGTAGGAAATGACCTGCAGTTGAGTGAGTCTGGCAGTGACAGTGATGATTAGAGCCCAGTCTTTTGAAATCCACTTCCTGGCGCATAACACGATGTGACAGGTCCAGGCTACTTACACATGGAGTCCATTGCCACAAGGAGAATGTCGTGGATCAGCGCCTATAAGGAGTTTGAGGCTTTGGAACTCATATTCAAGTCTTTAACTTAGTGGTGATGGGTGATTTTTCTCATGTAATTTTTGAATAATCTCCTATTGCAAAATTTAAATAGATCTGTAGAACTAACATAATTATATTTCTATTTGGTTAACATTTTTAATGAAAAACAGACAGTTCTGCCCTGGGCTGGGTTACTCAAAGGCCTTGTCTTCACCAGGTCAGCAATTTGGTTTTAAATCTCAGCAGCCATTAGTTTGGCCAATAGACCTCAAATGGTCTGCACCAGTGAGATGAAACAGTCTTTGTGGGATAAGGAAGAAGAGGGAGACCTCACACTGCATCATAGAAATATGTTACAGCCACTTTACATTGTTGACATAAAGTGGTAAGGAAGTTTGTCTGACCCAGCCTGACAAACCTGGGTAGAAATGGACTTGAGGGGAGTCTCTGAGTGTCAGCTCGGTCAGATACCGAAGACACTCTAGCTCAATCCCTTCATTTACAGGAAAGGGAAGCATGTCACTGGTTTATGACCAGTGTTCTGTTCCCAGTCCGTGTTCCCTCCCTTGAATTTTACTTAATGGAATCAGATTTTTATACATGGAACTTATAGTGTACATTAGCATTTTTACTGAGCTCAAAAAGACAAAAGCACTAAGTACATCCAGCTAGAATTCAGATTCCAGCAGTCCCTAAATGCTTTAGGCTGAGTGAGCGAGCAGATTAAGCCAGCAGCCACTATGTTGATGCATGTGACTCAGTTAAATTGAAGCTTTTAGTTCCATGTGGATCCGTCCTAAGTGTTCTCCATTTAGTGGATTTTAGCAGGATGGGAATAGGGTAGGAGTAGAAAAGAAACCTCTCTGAACAAAAGTGAGCCAGCAGTAAACTTCCAAAAACCAAAATCTAGATAGGAGTTCTGCAATATGGAACGAGCACATCCTTTGATAAGATCTTTCTGCTTATGATTTTGTACCACTGTGCCTGACTCCTAGACTAGTTTGTATTTTTATATAAAACTAGAAGAAAATCACAAGATTGCCTTCTACAGTGTGCAGTTTCCAAGTGAATCTGATGTTGGAAACTGGTCACTAGTAAATGTTGCATATTGAGTGAATGTGTGGTGATTGTCCCGTGATTAGTATGGAGCAGCCTATTTCTAGTCTGAGTGAATGTGTCCTAAGAAATTCCTATCTACAACACATGAAGCAGAGGTGAGGACTACCATGCTAGAGCCGTGCAGCCCAGGTGAGGACAGAGAAGTTGGTGAAAGCTCAGCTGTGGCTCATGGTTCCAAGAAGCATCTGAAGCGAGTGGCAGCTCCAAAGCATTGGATGCTGGATAAGTTGACCAGTGTGTTTGCTCCTTGTCCATCCGCTGGTCCCCATAAGGTGAAAGAATATCTGCCTCTTATAATCTTCCTGAGGAATAGACTTAAGTATACCTTGATGGGGTGAAGTAAAGAAGATTTGCATGCAGCACTTCATTAAGATTGATGGAAAAGTCAGAACTGATATAACCTGCCCCCATCAGCATTGACAAGACTGAGCATTTCCATCTGATCTACGACACCAAGGGTCGCTTTGCTGTTCACCGTATTAAACCTGAGGAAGCCAAGTACAAGTTATGCAAAGTGAGAAAGATCTTTGTGGGCACAAAAGGGATCCCCCATCTGGTGACCCACGATGCTGACACCATTTGCTACCCTGATCCACTCATCAAGGTGAATGACACCATCCAGATTGATTTGGCATCTGGCAAAACCACTGATTTCATCAACTTTGACACTGGTAACCTGTGTGTGGTGACTGGAGGCGCTAACTTGGGAAGAATTGGAGTGATCACTACAGGATGAAGCATCCTGGCTCTTTTTGATGTTGTTCATGTGAAAGATGCTAACGGCAACAGCTTGGCCACCCAGCTCTCCAACATTTTTGTTATTGGCAAAGGCGACAAGCTGTGGGTTTCTCTTCCTCAAGGAAAAGGAATCGGCCTCACCATTGCTGAGGAGAGAGATAAGAGGCAGCAGCCAAACAGTAGTGGATGAAATGGTCTTTAGATGACATGATGGAGAGGTCATTGTGCTTATCCTTTCTCTAGTTCCTGCACTCAGATGGCCTCTCCCTAGCTAGTGGAGGAAAGCAGTCTACAAAGGACTGCAAAGGAAATGGATAGTCCTTGATGGGGGGGGGGCTTTGGTGAGAGACTCCAGTGGGCCAAAATGGGAGGAGGAGCTGTCACCTTGCAGCACACCTGCAGCTCTCTGCCCCAGTGTAAGTAGTAGGCATGTGCTTGCTAGTACTCGTGGTGGGGTCTTTGGCCATCATGAGGGCTCAGTGGATATGGTGGCAGGTAGGAACTTATTTATAATGAACTGATTGATAGTTGCTTTATAATTCCATGGTAATAGTAGCTCAGGGAAGGTAGAGGTCACAATTGGAGACTTGAATTGTTGCTGGATGTGGGAATTATTTCACTGCTCTTAACTTGCTCAAATTGGAGCTGGTTCCAGGAACTTGAACTAAAACACCTATTTACTCACAATCCCCAAGCCTTGATGTAGATGGAACTGTGGTGTTTGGCCCTGTTAAGATGTTTGTTTCTATAGGAAATACTTGTATGTGGCACTAGGCTTGGTGAATCATGCTTTCTGAGCTTCACCCCCTCTCCTTCGTCATCTGTCCTACCCAGGGAATTCTCTAGCACAGCTCTGGTTTTTGTTTTCCACACAAAACCTTTTGTGGTTCTGTCTCCCAGCAGAATAAGGAAGTTTTCCTTTTTGGAAATCAAGACTGAGGTCTGACAGATGACTTCACAGGTATATTCATGCCAGCTAAACTGGACTTTTTCTTCTCTCTGTGTCTTCACTGTCCATCCTGCTCCCTTCACCCCACTCAAAGCCCCGTGTCCAAGGTTCTGTAGTTTCTGTGTTCATGGACTCTTGCTCTCTTTTGACCCTTGCAGAGTGCCCTGTGAGTACAAACTGACCTTTGCTTGCTTGAACTCTGGTTAGTATGAGCTCCTTAATAGCAGGAGCTGTCATCACTGGACTAGACATTCATGTGCTGATAGCCTGTGGAGGAGGCAGAGAAAACTAACCAGTGAAGTAGAGGGGTTAGACATAGAGAAAGTATCCCAGGCATTTGGACAAAGCTGAATATATCCATGCTAAAGATTCTAAACAAGCTGTTAATTTGCCTTTATACAGTGTTTGTTGCACTGTGTGTCATTTAGGTGAAGTGCAAAGACTAAATCTGATTATGTCTGAGGAGCATAGCAAGCTTTAGTAAAATGTGTTGGGAAATATACCTATTTTCTTTTTTTGGTAGCGGGGATTGAACTCGGGTCTC